GAGCTGCAGAGAGACTGATCGAGACAAATGAAATGAATGAAAGGAGACAAGGAGCGAACAAACAGAGAGAGAAAACAGGAAATACATTAACACACACACACACACATCAGCACCACACACACACATGAAAAAGGCAAACTGTTGCACACACACACACACACACACACACGGTGGGCCTCCTCCTCCTCCTCTGTGCTGCTGCCCTACTGATCCATTCATGAGTGTAGAAAGACAGAAACGTTGATTGTTAGTCTGTCTGCAGCATTCATACAGAAAGCTGGACATTATTGAACAGAGGATTGAACATCAGTGTCTTCTGCTCCTGTCACAGCTTTAATCACTGTGGCTCATTTCTCACTTTAGCGTAGAGTCCTGCTCCTCTATGACCCGGTGACAGACGCAGCAGCAGGTCCACCGTCATAAATAATAAAACATCTATGCTGAATCTCTACTTATCCCACAAAGATTACAAAGAAAAATCAGCATCTATAAGAGCCAGAAACCGCAAAAACAGACAAAAGTGTCAAATCTGATCAAATTCATAATGTTTGGTTTTAAAAAATCACCAAAACAAACTTCTGGCTTGAACCAGATTCTGGAAAAGAAATAAAGAAAAACACATTATCAGATCTAAAAACTGTAAAAACAGAAAGAATCAGCAGATTTTCAACTTGAGCTGCTGATGTTCTACGTGTTTAATGTAAATAAAATAGACCATCTGCACTAACTAGACGATACAAATGTGATTTCCTCCTTCCTGACGGTCCTTGAACTGCTCACTTCTGATGGAGTTCCTTCAAAAAAAACCCAAACAACGAATCCAAGCCTAAAATCCTGATATTTCATCTCAGGCCAGCAGTGAAGCCTGATGAGATGTGACCAGCAGCCACAGGACAGAAGTTCAGTCACTTCATGGCTGAACCGCAGGCCGGAGGAGGAAATGTAAAGTATAAGCAGCAACATGTCTGTAAGCCGTCGATCCACGCTGGTCCTTCAGCATCAGTAACACACGTTGGTATCTGAAGGTTTGTCTGGCTGCTGTAACATAAAGAATCGAGCTTCTGTTCATCGTTTCTATGATTTACGGCATCAGAAGTGTTTCACTGCCTCTGGTTTACTTCTCTTTACTTCCAGAGGACTTCCCGTCCAGCTGTCTTTGTCTCTCTGTGACACTTCAGCCTCTTTGTCTGCTCTTTTTAAACTCTCTCGCATGATTTTCTAAAGTCTTGTTTAAGTCAGTGGCGCGTCGGTGCTGTTGCCACGGCGACGCTCAGCTTGACGAACCCAGAGTTTAATTGTTGAAAGAGAAAGTTTGCGACCTGCCGGCCGGCCGAGCGGGGAGCGCTGTTGTCAAAGCAAACAGGCCGACTATGGAAGTGTCGACCAGATTAGAGTCCGCCGGTCGAACACGCTCACTGACGTCGCCGCACATCAAAGTGTCAGCGGGCGGCGGCGACTCCCGTGTGTGTGCTAGTGTGTGTGTGTTACCATGTGTGTGTGTGTGTGTTAGTGTGTGTGTGTGTTAGTGTGTGTGTGTTGTTGTTGTGCGAGTTGGCCCCTCCCCTCCCTGAGAAGTGACCGCAAGACAACCCCACAGCGGGCACCTGGAGGTGTGTGTGTTACGATGACAGACACCGCCAGGCACTGACATTCCCACAGACCAAAGAAAACACACAC